TGATTAAATTTTTGAAGTCTACTTATATGATTATTTTTTTTATTACTGTTATCATAATATTTTTGTTATGTGTATATATCTCAAAAAATTAATAAATTAAATTAAATTAAATTAAATCTCAAAAAATTAATAAATTAAATTAAATTAAATTAAATCTCAAAAAATTAATAAATTAAATAAAATTTCATATTTTTTAAAATAAGAATTATTTCTTTTTAATGTACTATTATTTATATCGTGTTGTTAAATGAATCATATTTTTATAGTCTATGTTTATCTATATATTTATAATGAATTCCATTATAATATAAAAACCATATGTTAGAATAACGCGTGCATACAACATCTAAAAGTATTCTGTTTCTGTTCGAAATCGAAGTCTTAAAGGCGAGTGGTGTTGTGTATCGGACAAGAATTTCATTGCAAAAGAAGATAAAAGTGGTCATTAATAGTCAGGGTCGTTAAATTATAGCCATGTTAGGCTATATTTAGGAACTTGGAGGTCGAGAATGCTTTGCCAAAAAAATTTTCCCTCTTCTCTTAGCATTGACAATCACCTTCTTATTATATTAAATGACATTATCATCGTTAACTGATATATTAATATAAAAAATACATTGCGTATTTAAAAAAAATATATTTTATTTTATGTAAAATTTTGTTAAAATACGACATCTCAAAAGTTTTTAATAACATGTTATATTTTTCTCGGCATCAAAAAATAATTATTGGAAATATTTTATTTTCTAAGATAGTGTATTTAATTTCCAATACAAGTTTTATAGAATTGAATAATTCTGTTAATTTGCAAGCAATATGTATAAATTGTGAAATTTTCAAAATATAAATATATTGTAAATTCTTTTGTGTTGTTTTACACATAATTTATCCGTTATTTTATATTTATTATTTATATCTATTATTTTATATCTATTATTTTATATTATTTTATATATTTTTTTCTAGTTTTTGCATTAAAAAATTGCAGAAAATTTCTTCAGTCTACGTGAGAAAGAAATCAATGCTTCTTTTAATATTTCCTTCGCGCAAATTCCGACTAATTTATAAATTGTAAATTCTTCTTTAATATTCCGGTCTTTCTCGAGAATCCCCATGCCTAAAACGGCGATAATTAAGTGCCACGAACTTTTGACAGAACCCACGATCTCGTCGACCTTGACACTTATCGCAAGCAGATAATGAGCTTCGACACGAAAATATGCACCTTTATGTTTGAAATTCCCTCTACGATAAGGAAGCATGATATCACGTCGCAATTTCCTCATAACTTCCGTCGACCTAATCGTGTGATCCCGTGAGAACCTCTGCACCCTATATCCTGCGTCTATAAAGTCCACTGTGCGTAACATAAAAAGAAAAAAATAAAATTCTTATCTCAAACATCGTCGGCTTGGTTGCACATTTACATCGTACAATTTGTTCTCTTCTTTTTATATATTATTTTTTTTACATATATATGTGCGATAAGATTTATTAATTATAAATTATTAATTGAAATTTCTGGATTAAAAATTAATTAAATATTTATATATAATATATACGCGCGATTGAATACATATTATTGAACAAATTATTAAAATTATCAAAATTTTGTTTCATAAATTTATTAATTCATCTATTTTTTATTACGCAAATTTTAATTAGCTTTAAATTAATAGTTTAAATTTATGTTCAATATTGTGATAAATAAACACTATTTTTATATTTTTTATTTACAAACTCTCTGTCTCTCTCTTTTTACATTAATATACGTAATTTTTAAATTGCATTTTATTATTAATATATATATATATATTAATTTTATTTTATCGGTAATAAATATACATATTTATCTTTTTCGTTTCTAAAGCATCTCTCAAATTTTTGTATGCAAACAGTAACACAATTACACTTATTTTCCACCTCTGAGCTTGACCGTTGTTGTGTAAGGTTAGAAAGCTAGAAAATTACATGATATTTCGTTGCAGTCTTAAAATGCAAGAACAAATTTATTCAAATCGCCATCTCATGTTCTTGTGTAATAATTATTACTGGCATAAGGTGCTTGGAGTTTTTTGAGCTAAAATATACCAACACAAGTAGCAAGATATTTTCAAGATGCTGTATTTTTACAAATTACTATTGTATCTTCAGTTTTAATATTTTGACTTTTGATTGATTTTCACATTCATAGGCTGAGTCTAATTTGTAAATGAAGCTAATCGCCATTTATTATACTCGATTTATTGCAATAGTAACAGTATCAGCTGATCGAAATTTACTTGTCACACTGCTTTCAAACAAGAAAATCTAACATTAATTCTTAGCCATTTAATCCCAACAGATATAATCAGGATAATTCAAATAGAGAATTATTGATTACAGGGAATCAAAGAAGTTTATAAATAGATAAAAAAAAGAATCTCAGAAGTGATCTGAAAGAAGCAAAAAAATCTAAATTTAAATAAATAAATAATTTAATGAAAAATAAATTTTTTTAGATGATTTCAAACTTATCTAAACGAGACATAATTAAATAATAATTTAAAGTTTCCATGTAACGCGCTACTATTAACATTGGCATTTTCCCAATGTCACGTTCGGCAGGTGCCAATTGATCAAAATAGAAGAAAAAAATAAAAATCTTTCACGGTTATGCGGTAGAATCGCCTAACCAACTGTTATTATTATATTTCATTCCTAGAACTTCATTAATTTTCTCTCGGAGAACGTCATAAACATGCTAATGTTGTCTGTCGCGTCACTCGCGTGTTCAAGAAGCTCGTCCATCGATACGTTACAAGGATGTTGAAAACACGTTCTCCTATCGTCATTCGTACGGTCGCTGGCTATAATTAGTCCCATCACGCGTCGCGTTATCTCGCGCGGGAGCGCGGATAATCGGCGATTGCGTCGCGTCGCGATGACGGGCACCTATTTCCATCATCGATAACGAAAATGGAGCTCCCCTCGGAATTGCGGGCAATGATTATGAGCACGATTTTTCCCTCGAGGCACCGTTATGCTCCGCTTTTTCGTCGCGACTCATGAGAATCTCGCTCTCCGCGCGTCGCGATTTAGACAATGACGAGAGAAATTACGTCGACGAAGAAGTTGTGAGAAACCCGGTGAGCGGCGTTGGCTCATTGTCAGAGCAGATCGCGTAATTGGTTCGAAACCTACGGCCGTTTTCGTTTACGACAACCTGCAAACGGAAAACGCGCGCGGTTTCTCCGCAAAAACATCCGCATGACTTTGCTCTTTCACCTGACTTTATAGAATCGAAGAAGCGCCAGGAAACGACATGTGTTTACTCGACACATTCCAAAAGTGTTGCTGTGGGAAGATTATATTTTTTTTGTGTGTTAGGAATGGAAAGGAGAAAAATATACTTGTTTTGCGTGCAAAAATAACAAAGATATTCGCGGACTTTATTGTATAAACAGCGCTCGTAGACAGCTTGCATTTAATTTTGTTTGATAAGAAATAAGATAATTTTGCTACTGTAATCTCTCTCTTCTTAAAAATGAATAAATTTTCTCTATTACATAATTTTTCTTGATTTTCAAGAACCTGTTTCTTAAAGGACGATGTACTTGAAAGATGATTAGTATGTTGCGAATAATTTATGAAAAAATCTCTTAGGAACTTATGCGTTTCAAATTTATGTAAAAAGGATTTACCGTTACATTTTCCATCAGAATATTAGTGGAATAATTATTAAAGGGAGGCTATATTGTTTCCTGTAAAGCGCTTCGTGACGCTCGCGTGAACAGCTGAGTTTTCTCCTCGGTCTTATCGAATTATCGCGTCGTTTATAACAACTTTAAAACTCCATCTCGTGCAAAGTTTTGCTAAACGATTTCGCGTGAAGAAGAATGCGATATGCGCAAAATGCGCAATATTTTCATATATATTCATGATGTAGAAATAAAATACTTCATGCTTGCAGATTCAGTTAAATGATTTATGCATATCAATTTAAAATAATTTTGCGATAAAATAAAATCGCCGCAACCTTGATGTATTATAATTAAATGTAATTGTGAATAAATAAATTAAATAAAATAGTCGATAAAATTTTACATATTAAATTTTTTATAATATTTCAATATTTTTTTTTAAAGAGAGAGAGAAGGAGAGAAGCCTTATTTATCTTTCTTTCTTGAAAAATTGATTTGCACTTAATAGATATAGATACTTAATAGATATCTATATATCGTTGATGTATATGGAATATATCTAGCTGAGAATTTTCGATTAAAATATACATTAAAAGTCGCATCTAAAAGATTTTCACAATTGCAGATTCTTTCATTAATTCAAAGGTAACTTTTCCTCTCAGTTTAGAATTTTTACCCTTAACAAAATGTTTAATTTACGATTGATTGGCACAAAATATTTAATTAAAAATTAAATGGTTGCTATTGATAATTTCCAATCGAAAATTTCTATTCACAGAAATTCAACGTTAAATTCAGCAAACAATTTATTATTAGAAAAAAATGTGTATTTTTTTTTATAAATTATTTATAAATTATTCATATATCGTGGCAATTAATTAATTTAAATTACACACACATCTTGTTAAAGAATAATTAAAATTGTTAAAATATTTAGCAGTGATAATTAAATCGCATTTGATCATACGTTTCAATTGCATTCCACTGTAGAGAGATCCGTTAGGAAATTTGTCATTAAGAGAAAGTACGTTTCTTTATATCACGTTATCCGTGTATACAAACATCGCGTCTCACCTTCTATAAATCGAATCACCTTCAAATTCAAATTTATCGCAAAACACAGTTCACTTAAAATATCAATTGCTTCGAATCTCGCGTAAGCCACTGACTACTCTCTTTTCTAATGCTCCAATAAACAGATTGTTATACTGTGATTTGGAATCGTATCATCAGACAACCATCGACCTCACCTGTCTCTTGCATAAATGCGCGCGTACACGAAGAAAAATTGCGAGTTTCGCGCTTCGATATACGCACCTGATTAGGCTCGCGAGGAAAATTCGCGCGAGGGGAGAAATTCCTCCGCAGGAAACGATGGGGTCCTCCTACAGCCAGCAGCAATCCCCGCGAGTTATTTGCATACAATCCGGTGACGGCGGTTCAGGAATCCGCGGAAAGCGCGACCGACCGGTTAGCTTCCCCGCCTTCCTTCCTTCCTTCCCTTCTCTTCGTCTCCGTCCGGTGCGGAGCGTCGTGTTTCTCCAGATCGAGGGGCCCGCTTCCTTCCGGTTCCCTCTTCCGGTGTCGGATCTGTCAGGGTCCCTCGACGAGAACGAGATCGAGGATCGACGAAAATCGTCGACAACTAGACGCGCGCACGAGTCAGTGGGTACTTTGGAGAACGGAAAGTCGTCGTCGCTTCGTCGGCAACGACGGGCGAAAGGTGCCGCACGGTCGAGAACCCAGCAAGTACTGCTGAGGCCAACAGGTGAGCCATGCCAGCGGTTTACAGCCAGTGGTGTATCACGCTGGTATCCTGCCGAGGGCAAGGTGCGATGTCAGGAGCGTAATTTGCCGCTCTGAACTTCACCTGGCACATCGTTTGCCTGTCTGTTGCTTCCGATCCAATTGACAAGAGACAATAAAAGAGGCTGATATATAAAAGTTGTATTTTTATACCTGACGAGAAGCACATGCATGTTTGAAAGCTTGTTTATTGACAAGTTTTCAAAGATGTAGAGTCATAGATATATTTACATTTATAAAATAAATTACGTAAAATATAAAGAGTTCGTCTTTTGTGGCTATTTAGTCTGTAATTGAGTTTGACATATGAAATAATATTTATAAATAATACAGAAAAATTTCAAAAACAATAATAAAGTTTAGAAATAAATGAAACTAAAATTTCTGGCTATGATCTTTTTTACAAAATAAAATTATAGAATAAAGCTATTTGCGTTTTTTAAATCATAATATTTATTACATGTACAATATAAAAAAAAATTGACAAATTTGTTAGAAATCAAAGAGAATAGCAAATGATCGATAAAAATAACAACAGGTGTATTTAATAATTATGAAATATTTATTATAAAATATTTCTTATTGAATCGACTTTGAATTAAATTGTAGAGCTTTATGGAAGAGAACCGGTTCTCTCTGAATCCGGAAGAAACATATGTCGAACAAATGTTCCCGGATAATTTACTGACGCTCCGTCGGTTCTCATAAATATCGACGCGCGATCATGATTTCCGACACAAAGTTTCTGCATCTACTTTTCCACATGGTACATATAACTTACATTCCTTCGCGCGACAAATGCGTAATAGATTTTCGCGAAACGACATCGCCAAGATTCTAGAAATAAAGAAACAAAATCAAATAACATTGCAAAACCAATAAATTATCGTATCAAGATCTTGCATCTTTTTATTTCCCTTGCAAAAAAAAATCTACATTTTAAATTGTGCAAGCAGTTTATCGTTCTTTTATCATTATTGTGATTTATCAAGTTATCGTGTACTGAAATAATGAATTAAATTAGTAGTTACTATATTTTAATTTACAATAATAATTTAATATCGTTTCACTGTCGCCATATATAAGTATTTATTTGAAAAGTATAACATTTTCATATTCACAAGATTAGATTCCCTGACGGTATTAAAGGCGATAAAGAAGTTAGCGAGTTATTGCATTTTTTTAGTAATATGCAAATTCTACAGTTAATCCAATGCACCAACTATATAATGTTTCATTATATACTTTCTAGCCACGTCGTAATCTACTATTAATGTCCATGAATGGAATTCCACGAATGAAATTTTTCGTAGAAGGATTAATGCGTATATGCTTTAAGCACAAATCCTCTATCTTAATTTGATTTTTAAAATAAATATATCATAATAATATATCAGATTTAATAATTTAATTATAGTAAAAGAACCAGTTTCCCTATAAAAATATAAATATTGTTCATGATGTGTTTACGATACTCATTTTTAGTATTTTTTTTCATAAGCATTATTTAAAAAATGCATAAATTATAAAACTCCAACAAAAATAGCATAATATTTACATAGTAAAATATTTACATAGCACAAGACTGCTTGACATTCTTAATCGATCAAATTCTTTATTGGCACAAAGAAATTTTAAACAATACAGCCATAAAAGCATCATATATGTAAAGGTTTTAAATAAAAACGTTGACCTAGGAAACGAGATCTAATACATCAATATATCTCATGTATATCATTATGAACAAGATCTCTCATATCGAATATAGATTCTAACATTGTCTAACTTCCTTTAATGGCTCTCTTTCTCGTGCAAAGTAAAAGTGATTGTAGCATCGAAAGACGTCAGGCTGTTTTTGCACAACCTTCTTATTCAAATCACCCAGCCGATTTCGCATTCCGAAAGTGCCTCACGAAGCCACCGCTTTATTATCCCGCGAGTTGATCCTCCCGACCCGCCTACGCCTTCCGTATAATTTTCACAAGTTTCTATTTCTTGCGATGATTACAGCATCAAGTGACATAATCAAAGTGCGAAGATTGTCACATTTTTTTTACGCGTGGGAATCTATTCTTTTGTAATTGTATATGGCGCCGTGTATGTATCTTTTAATATGTACATAATATGCAACATGAATATAATTTTTTTTGCATAATTCGCGATCTTTTAAGTATCAAGGTGCATTAATGAAGGCACAAAGAATCTTCAATAATTTTCGTCAATAATATACCGAAGAGAATTTATGTTATCAATTTAAAAATAACATATCGAAAGCGACATTTGACGATACGATAAATTCTTATCATATTGGCGTATCCATATTGGAACCGATTATTTTCTATCGCTTTGCGTCATAATCTCGCTGACGCAATTTATGTCATTATGAATCATATATATTGATATTAAAGGATAATCTATTATTAAGTTAAATTATGGTTGTCTCTTTATTGCAAAAAAATCTATGTATCTAAAAAATAATTGTTTCCGCTTCACATTATTTATTACGTGCTCAGAATATTTGACATGTATAAAATTATTCTTAATGCACGCAACAGAATCAAAAAGTTATATCTTATTTTATTTAATATTAATACATAATACTAATTACATATTACATATACATAATATTAATACATATTTACAAAAATTATATACAAAAAACAGACAAAAGAATTAACTAAATTATAAACTCTTCAACTTTAAAAAAATATTTAAAAAATATTAAATATTAAATATTATTTATTTAAATTTACACTATTTCTAAATTATTAGTAATTATAAATTATTTAATATTAGAAAGAAAAAATTAATAATAATAAAACTAATAAATATATTGAATAATCACAAAATCAATATGTAAAAAATTTTTTTTCAAATAATTTACATACTTTTTTTGAATGTAATAGAACGCATTAGCTATTAATAAGAAATTGAAAAATTACGCAATAAAAAATCGAATTAATTTATATCATGGAAATTATATTTTTTACTTAATATAGTGTTTAGATTACATATTGTTTAATTTATTTATTTTTTTTTCTAAATTATGCATTGCGTTTCAGAAATATAAATCTATTTAAAAAATAAATTAATACAAAGTCATTATACATATAGTATGCATTTTCATTAGTTTACCGATGGAGAGTTCAATAAAAGAAGAAACATGTCATTAATTGATAGTTTCCCGACAGATGACGCCATCTTAAAGGATTCTTGGCGATATATTATTGAATTTTTGAAGCGACAAAGACCAATCCATCTACTACAAAGAAGAGATAAATAAAAGATTAACATATATAACAATATATTCATGCATAATCGATAATAATTTTAATTTTTAAAGTAAAATAATGTATTTATTATTAGGTGATCCTATCTGCGTTCTGCACTTGCAATTTTTAGCAAAATTATTGTTTAAAAAATTACAACTCTATTATATATTCGTCTTTATAAATTATATATTTTCAAATATATATATTTGTAATAATTAATTTATTTATAAAAAAATTGCTATGAGATTTATTTAATATCATTATTAAACAAATATATTTCTTATATGTAATTGTGCTAACATGTTTTCTAAAATAAATTAACAACATTGTTGTTGAAGTGACAGATACGCTTTATATACGTTAATATATAAACGTCATACCAATAGCTGCGGTGTCCGAGTGGTTAAGGAGTTGGACTCGAAATCCAATGGGCTTTGCCCGCACAGGTTCGAATCCTGTCCGCAGCGATTATTTTTTTTCTTCGCTGAATAATTCTTCATACATGTCTTATATAATATTTATTGACATTAAATTGTACACGATTATAATGATGTAATTGTGCTGTATTGCCAATATTTTTCATTATTATCATCACTTGTCGTTTATCATTACACGACAGCTGGCCCCTCATTGTACATTGTAATGAATATTTAATGTAAATTATGAATAAATTAATAAATTGATAAAGAATTAGGCTCTGTTATGTATTAAACAAATTATAAATATTTATGTTTTTTAATAAAATGTTATAAAATACTATTAATACATGATAGACGTTATAGAAATATATATCTATCATAAAATTGAAATTCTACGCTGGTATCTTAAAGAGATACTTTAGAGTATATATAAAAAAAATATGTAAAATATATAAAATATATATATATATATATATAAAATCTATATTTATATGAAAATCAATGTGGGTAATTAATATACATCCTATATAAGACTAGATAGAATAGTTCGACCTTTAGCAATGAATCTTACGTATATACAAAAAATATAATTCACTTTCCTTCTCTTCCATCCCGGATATGGAAGGGTTATCATGAAACCATTCGCTGCTTAGTCATCGACGATGGGAACGAAATTCTATGACGCATTTTGCTGAAAGAAGAGACACGATCATAAGTTTCGACGTGATCAAGACGCTATCTCAATTGACCTACGGCCCCACTACCCTTTCCCTCACCCGGTTCACCGCTCCGTTATCTGCTTCTGTGCGTAGACTGACCCTCACGTCGGTCTTCTTTCACTTGGCTACGAACCACCATCCATCGAAGATGATCCGAATCGGCGCACTCTTCCTGATCCTGGCTCTGTCCACGCTCTACGCGGAAGTTGTGCACTTTACACCGTGCCCTCATCGTAAGTATCGCAATATTTCTCCTTTATGCGAATCGCGATTCGCTGACTAAACGGAAAGGGCTCTGCTAGAAAGTGACGGGGACATGTTTCTTGCTTGGCATAATGTCATCGAGAACCCTGATCGCGTAACTGACGTCAATCAACGTGAAAGTCGGGGAAAAATCGGGGGTTAAATCCTTCGGCGGATATATATCGATCGTCGACGTTCATGCGTTGTTTTTATCGTTCTCGGAGCGACGAACTCTTATTTAATGCGATTACCATATATCGAACCGTGCGGGCGCGTAAATAAATCAGGGATATGTAAAGCGAAAATGGGACTTCTCTTTGCAATCACTGTTATTCATGCATTTTTATCTTCAGTTTCATCCATCATGCGTATTTTGGAAATGATGTTATTTACGGGTCCGATGCATTGCTACCGTCAAGTATTTTTTTTATCGATTTCAATGTATGTGTATTGTTTGTATCAAATTTTAAAAATATATTCTCGAAATAATCTCTTTCGAGAATATATTTCAAAAATTACCTTTTATCCCTTGTAAGAAAATTTAATGAAGCTAAGCTAAGAAAATTAAAAAATTTATATTGTATTAATTTATTATTATTTCGAAAGAAATTGAATTATTTTAAATTACAAATTTTTTCATAATATTATGTTGTAATATTTATTAATTAAAAATATAGTTTTCAAATGTTTTTTCATATTTAAATAATTCTGAAAAAAGTGTGAATAATTGATATATTTAAATTTTAGATTAGATATATTTTGCGAAACTTTGAAATATACGAAAGTATGGCAATATACGAAGCTTTTGAATCGTAATATTAATCAATTAATTATTCTAAATTTCGATTTGCGAGAATGCATTATTTATATTAGAGATGTTCACGGAATAACTATTTTTAACCGTCAACAACATATAAACACGTGATTAGCAAGTGAAAGAGAAGGACGAAGATTAAAGTAATAACGCCCCTTTCTATGCAAACAAAGAGGGATTGCTAGACTAAAATAGCTTCATATCAATTTCATATCTTCTTTCCCACTTATCAGTTGAACTTATCAATTTCTTTGTATCAATTTCATATCTACTTTCCCACTTATCAATTGAACTTATCAGTGTCCATTTATCACGTGAACCTTCCAAAAAATTATTTTTTAAAATTAATGCTTAAATTTAAATTCTTTCTTTTTACCAAAATTTTAAGCAGAAGATTTTATTAAAAAGAAGACATTTAAAATTTTTGACTTTACAAAAGATGAATTTTTAATTCCATAGAAAATTAATTTCGAATATTATTTATTGTATCGGAAAAGTAAAAAAATTCTAATCAATTTTATTACGCATCGATCAAATGTATATGTATTGAAAGATTTAGTAAATATTTGTTATAAACATGTTGTCTAGATTAATTGAATTAAATTGAAATGTTGAGTGATATATTCGCTGGGATGTATTTAATTCAAAGTTAATTCATATTGTGGAATATTATTAAAACGATAATGAAGTAATGTCTATTTGAAAGTTACAGAAAGTGGAACCTAAGGAAATGCATTCAATTAATATGATAAATTAATCTGAGAAAAACAATTTCATCTCAGGAATAAAAAGCTATATTAATCTCGCAAAGCTAAAAGCCAACGCGAAATTTTTCCGCAATAAGCATTTGATAAAAGCGAGAATTATTACACATGAAAACATTATTATTTGTAGGAAAAAGCAATCATACAAACTTTAGCTTTCCGGATAAAATAGTTTTGGGAAAAAATCTGCTAAATCAATGAAACGGCGAAAACTTTGATACAAATAGAGGTGATATGTTGGGGCTCGAGATATAATTTAATAAGTTTTTTCGTATTCATCGAAATTTTGCGAAAGTTTTTTCCATATTGTAATTCATAACCGAATCTCGGAGAATAAACCAAACATCTGGTATACATTTTCATAAAAAAAGGAAGATACTTAAGATGCAAAAATTTCGCTTTATCTAGATAGAAACTTTGTCGATCGCAGTTTCAAAGTAGTTTGTGTTAATCTGCAAAAGTTGCGTCATCGATGACACGTGCTGCTCTTCTTTCTTTTTGTTTTTTGTACAGCAATTTACGCGCGTTTATCTCATTAATTCTTATACGAGAGAGAAACAATATTAATACTATTGTATGAACTTATGAAGATATATAATGACAACTTAAAAATCATAAATATCTGCTGTTTTCTATTCATAGCGTGCTACGCAAATAAAATGATATTTTCTTTTTATATATATTTTATATAGATTTTATCTGCTTATAAACAAATTTAATATAAGTAACTTAAAAATTGTATATCTCTTATAAAATATTCTCTCCTAATATTTTCAATGTATCTTGATAATTCTTATTCTTAATGTCTTCTATTGCTATTTAAATTGTGGACAACAAATGAGATCTAAGGATTTTAACAACTTTTTGAATAGATTCTTTATGAAATCTTATCATTTATGTTTTAGCTGAAAATTACACTTCAGTTTGTACTGTACACGAAGTACGAGTAAACCCATGCAGAGAAGCTGAAGAAAGAAAACCATGTACTTTAAAAAAGGGTCGCAATGCGAGTATAAGTTTTGACTATACCACTGGTAAATATAACATTTTATATGTTTGATTTATATTAAAATATACTATAATATACTATAAACGTATACTATAGGAGTATTAAATAATTTCGAACTTTACGTGTTAGAAATTAATAAATTCGTCATATCTTTTATTTACAATTATGCACATGTTTTGAATTTAATTTAATATATGTATATATACAAAAGATATCTCAAATGAAAGAGAGAATGTAGTCACAACAATCATCATGATAAAGATCATTAAAAATTATTACGAATCGTAGCAATATATTCTAATAAATGTTATAAGTTAGAAAGATTTTAAAAATAGCATTTATTATTAACACGAAAAATCTCAATGTATTATCATTTCAATGTTAAACTTCTCAATATTTGAATAGATTTAGAATGTAAAAAATGTAAAAAAATTGTGTGTTGAACATAATCATATATATAAATAAAAACATTACATAAAATATAATTATAGCCTATAGTATTTCACGTATTTAACGTTTCTACGTCAATGCTTTAAAATACAAGAAAATATTTTGTGGAAAAAAATAATTTACATAAACTTTAGAAGATGCTGTTAATTCTTTATCTTTCTTTAAAAATATTTTTCACTCTAGATTTAAAAAAATAGAATATTAATTATTTTAATCAAGATAATGATGTATTAATAATATATATTTTATTTCAGAGTTCGGTGGTGATACATTACAGAGCAGAGCATATTGGGCTTCGGAAATAGTCGATTTGCCATTTTTGGGCATGCCAATTGAAGCTTGTCCATGTACTACTTGTCCGGCGGTACCTAATCAAAAACAAACATATACGGTGGTATTGCCGATCTCTAAGAAGTTCCCTGCGGTAAATAATTTTTTGATTTTATTGTAAATAAGCCATTTTATTTCGTACTATATTTATGTATAAATGATTATAGACTTTATAATATGTATTTGTTTATCGTAACTTATTTTCTGTTTATTTTATTTCATTTTATTTTATTTTATGTGATTTATTATATTTTATGTAATATTTTTATTTATATATATGATTATGTTCAACACACAATTTTTTACATTCTAAATCTATTCAAATATTAAGAAGTTTAACATTGAAATGATAATATACTTAAAGATATAAAACTTAAATATAATTTGATATGTAGAAGAATGGTTATAATAGTTAAGTAGTTTATTACTAGAAGAAGAAATTAATTTTAAAATTAAAATATATCGTTATTTAAAACATATTTTTATTTTTAATTACAGCGAACATATGATCTCAAATGGAAATTGTGGAATGAGCAAGAGCAAGAATGCTGTTTTATGTTCCAAATTAAATTGGTGAAGTGAAGTTGTTGTTCTTAAATTCAACATATCATCCTTCGCAATGATTATAATTCGCCGATTCATAATTTAATAAAATAAATAATATATTTGTATTAAATTGCAATCTTTCATTATATTTGCCTTTATACTATGTTAAATATGATAAATTTTTATCATAATATAATCATTAATAAATAATTTAATAAAAAACATTATCATTATATTATAATATTTATCGATAATTCTTAATTAATGATTCGCAAAATTCTTTCAGAGAAAATTGCATGATGGTTTCTATTTGATTTTATACAAGCTATTTGCCAACTTTTCTTAAATATCTTAAAATATTAAAGATTCTTCTATTTAGGAAAAAGAGTGTATGTTCGACTTTTATATAATATTTATAAAATTATATATTCGATAAAGTTATATATTGACTTTTTGAGGGGGAAGGGAAGGCTCTATATGTAATTTTTACAGTATCTAAACATTCAATCTGTATTTAAAATAATTATATAAGTATTTGTGACTTTAATAATTCGGTTTATAGTTAATATTATACATTTAATTCGTTAATAATAAAATTACGTTCCATAAATTGCGCTAGCTTTTGCTCTCTCTCTTATTATATATCATCATTTTATCTTTTCGTCTATTTATTAATAATTCGAATTATAGAGGAGTCTGATTAAAAAATTCGCAAGCATTGGGTAATAATTCAGATAATAATTTTATCAAACTGGTAATAATTCAGATAATAATTTTATCAAACTCGTGCTCACTATTATAAGTCATGTGTTTTTATACATCTCTTAAACATTTTAAAACATTTAATCTCTAGTGTGGATAAAATCGCTTATATATTCTATATTAATAGAAATTAAATAATATTATTTACATTAATTAACATACTAAAAAAATATTCTTCTGACATAATTATTTCCGCTGTCTATAAATAAATAAGCTTTATCGCAAAATGTCGTGTGCAATTCATTAAAATAGCTAAAATGAAAAAAACAATATACTGATATCTTTTACTCTGCCTATTTAAAAGTAAATCCATTTTTATACCAGCTAAGCCGTCATTTAGTTCTGAATGTTTCAAGCGGAAAATGTCCATATTTGAAATGCCATCAGCGAAATCTATATGTTTCTAAATGTAAATTGATCGCACCAGTTTTAATCTTATAATGCGAAATTATTTATCGACGAAAGTCGATTGAAGTTTTATGTGACTATAAAAAACCCGTTCCTATCTAAGAAAATTGCTATATAACATATTTACATTTATTATCATAATAATTACTACATAATTATTACTTGTTCGTTAATAAGTAAATAAATATATATATATATATATATATATATATACACATATATATAGTAACTATATACGAAGTATTCAACAATGATACAAAGTTATGAAGCAGCATCATTTTGCGAGCATGTGATTCGACCTATATATGCAAGGTATTCTTGGTAGACGAACGAAATATAAGAGTTCGACGATCGTTCGTTCAGTCACACACGGTGACATATTGCGCGACGCAAAGGCCCATAATGTGGCGCGGTCTCAGATGGCCAATCAAAGACGAGCCTGCTAGAAAAATAATTGGCCACAATTGTTAAATTGTGCATTTCCTGATAAAAGTGGCCGGAAGACGGTCCCGCCGTCGATTCTGTCGAAATTTACAATACGTAATACGGCAACATGCGAGTTCATTCATGTAAGAAAAGAAAGAAATGTAGGTCAAATCTCTCTATATATACGTCGGATATACTATATAATAGCGAAATCATTATTTTCATTCGATCATCAGTTAAATTTGCTGATCAAACGACTCTTATCCGATTAATTTCTATCAGGCAATCTCTTTAATTGCTCCTGATGTTTATAAATTCGGCCGCCAGGAGGGAATCCATGAGAAAAAAGGATATCAGTTCCATTTATCTTCATTTATTATTACATCAGCAACGCAGCGCTTACGATAATTATTTCTGTTTTGAACGTAAACTGAATTAGACAAATAGTTGGACGAGCGACTGGGATAGATTAGATTAATGGCACCGAGATAGATTAAAGATTAACATTTTTACTTCGCTTATTTTGTTTAATCACAAAATAATATTCTAATAAAATACTGGCTATTTATAATTTATATTCTTAATTTCTTGGAAGCCTTCTCAATTCCCTGGAAATTTTTATTTATATTCTTTAAAGTTAATATTCTCTGAGAAATACTTAAGATTGGCTTTCTCAACTTACATTTGCTCGACCGATTTTTTTGAATTATCAACGGAATATGGGAGTATTTTCTTACAGTAAAACAAGAAGTATCTTGAAGCTTCGCCAAAACGTACCATCATCCACTTTCTCATTTCCGCTGCGGACGTAGATATTAAGCAAAAATTTACGCGATATTTAACGCGGCAATTAGTAATCATCGTCGGATGATGCGCACGCAATTTCTCGATAATTAAAAACCTAGTGCTCCGCGCTGCCAATTCTCATTACGAGATTGATCGAGGATAACTGTAAGCAAAATAATTATCGTCCAGAGAACGCCGATTACCGGCGCGGCTTGTCGCGGCGCGGCCCGAGGTCAGAGGCCATAATAACAGATCACTTTGGTCGACCCGTTCGCTATACGTTGTAAGTTAATGCGCAATTATTCAATTGAATAAGGCAGTTGATTCACGAAGGAACTGGCCGCGGCAGAAAGTTCAGAAAACGCCGCGAGAAGGCCACGAATTTTCGCCGGCAAACAGGAAGCAGCGACTTCATCTCGTAAAATTTATTACACCGATGATGAATTCTGACAGTTGCGATATATAAATATAAATATGAATTTTGACAGATTTATGTAAATTAAATGCGTTCCGAAAATGTCGAACTGTAAACACGCGTTTATATTTTCTTTCAAAATATAAACATGTAAATTTTTTTTTTTATATTATTATCCATCGCAATTTTTTTCAATTTCAATATTGACATTAAATTTCAATATCGAATAAATTCCAGATTAATTTTAAATAAAAGTTGTATGAGAGTTTTATTATTTATAAATTAAATGAGAGATAATACTTTAAATAATAAATATTTTCATTTTTAATACGGTATATGATTAGAAAATTGTTAATGATACGAGAGATAAATATCGATATTATAAATATTAAAAATGCAGGAATAATGCCATGTTCAAATTTTCCACTCATTCTGGGAAATCTCCAGTTATTATGTTATTGAAGCGGCTTTGCAAGCCGCTTAACATCATGCATCCACATTTTCTTAATAAAAATTTATATGTTTCATAAGTCCTGAAGAGCTTTATCTGCAATCAACATGTTTTATAACTACTGAAGAATTTTATCTGCAATTGTTTATTAAATACAAGATTTAACAACATAATAATAATAATAATAATAATAATAATAATACAAATATTAAAAATAAAAATAATAATATTAATAATAATATTAATATATAATAATAATAGAATAATAGAAACATTTATAGAACTAATTAACTGTACAATAGTTAATATATTGACAGAGAACAAAATGGAACTCGAGATACGTAGCATCAATTATAAACTTAAAAAACTTCATTCTAAAAATATTAAACTAATCGCTGAAGATACGATAACTAAATTTATGAATGCATTATCAATACATATTGCCGATTAATAAATCTACAGTTTATGTATTCTCAAATAAGAATACAAAGCGCTATTGCTCGAGTATCAAAGTGGTGTATCTTTTCGTGACTCGCAATCACAAGCAGCGATTATCGTTGTCGTTCTCGTCGCGACAAGGGAACAGGTATCGATTCTTTGGTATCGACATTACATGGCGCATGCTGCCATGCGACCGAAATTTAGGGCAATACAAAGCGAGCACAGAAATATATCTGAAAGAAAGCATTGCTATTTTTACGCCATTAGACATGTCTGATTATTCTGCATGAATAGTCTGTATGAATATCTATTCCTCTTTTAGAAAGGCAAGCATAGATATATTGAATTAATATAAATTGCAAATAAATAACATTAATTATTTTTATCCAATAATATTAATTGTTTTCAACAAGTACCAGCTAATTCAGGAATCCCGTGATATAATTTCGATTGTCTTGCTGTTACAGTAACTTATCTTATTTTTAATCGTTACACGGTGTCCCAAAAATTTAGTAAAAATAACACATAGCGTTATTGTTGAAAAAAATAAAAAATAATTTTTCGTATTAGCGCTATAATAGAACAAAAATATCAACGTCTTGAAACACATCCGGCATTATATCGGTATAAAATATAAATATCATAGAAAATCTGTGGATTTTTTTTATAATCTTGGCCGTATATTTCACCTCGACACCCACGTCTCTTTGGCAAACGTACCTGTGATTCATTGTTCCCAATGTGCATGACTTTTCTCGAGCCTAATCGCCGAGCTTTATCAGCGCCACGAATTATCGCCCACGGTAGAGCCGCATCATCGGCGTTCAGTCCGTACGCATAATCTAAATCTACATAGTAATCTTATCATCTCTAATGGACGACCTGGGAAGGCGGAACAGTCAAGTTTCTCGCGAGCCAGGTCATCTTTATATCTGTCTATTCGTTTCCCCGCAGGATAAATACAGTCTAACAATAGATCTCTAGAATTAGCAAGAAGGTCGTACCGACAATACAAGCATTTACACTTTTAATGATCTTCAAACCACCGAATTGCAGTCCCTTATCTAAAGTTATGCCCTTCATATACCTTCTGTTTTTCTTGTTATCTTGACACATTTACTCATAATTTATTCATATTAATTTATTGACTTATATATTTATATACTTATAATTTTTTTCGATGTAATCGGAAAATGTGTATAACGCGCATAATATTAATTTTTTTCTTCTTTAATCATTAGCTTTCATTTTATTTATGAACTTTCGCTTCCATCGTAAATAAATCATTTTGCAATATTCGAAGAAATGTGTTATCAGTTTACGATAAGTGCAAAATATTTGAGAAATGATTACGATATTTATGCATCAAATATGGAACAAATATGGATCATTAGAAATTAGCTAAAATAATCTTTTTCTCTTTCTTTCTTAATATTTAATGTATATACATTTTTTAAATACTTGCTCAAAAAAAGTGTAAATGTAATTGATACCATGAAAGATATAATTGATACTATTTATATAATCAGTAAATACTATTGTTTAAAAAAGGTTTTTTTAGATATTTTAATTATTCGTCTTTGCAATATTTTTTATACGTCAATATTTTTTGTATAAATGTAAAAAAATTTGCATTTAATATATATATTAATTCCTAAAAAATTTAACATACGTCAGAAGCGTCTTTCTATTGATCGAGCTGCTATTTTACAAACTGTTTAAACAGGCGAATTAATATCTTTCTTCTGGCATTAATCTACAATGGTGAACTTGCGACAAAACGAATCTGTCCGTCAAACACATTGTGAAATAATGTTTCAGCGAGCGTAGATTGTGACAAACGAAAAAAAGAGTTGTCATTCAAACGGACTTAGCGGTTTCGAGCTCGAGAATATCTTTCAAAGGGTATCTTGACACGTCAATCAATAATGGAAATTTTTCTTTAGATTCAGACCTTTTTTTTAATTTCCTCTCTTTGTGCCGTGAAACGTTTGCTCTCTCCGAAAAATTTATACTACGTAAATCGGGTCTTTGCACACCGAAATCCTCGCTTCCTGAAGAATCCTTAGCCTCGGACCCAGCGGAACTCCCATCTTCTGTAACCTCTCTTCGCTTAAATAAGGCAGCTCCACCATTCCGACTTTTTCTTTCTCGAAAGCAGCCGCGTATTTCTTTAAATATACGTACAGTCATTATTTAATTACATTATCCCTTTTAATCAAGGAATAATATGTAAGATCTCTTTATTTTAAATCGCTCATTATTCCAAAACATAAATGCATCGATAATTTTAAGAAAAATGAACACATGTAAAATGACATATTTGTTTAAAAAAAAATTTTTCATGTGTCAAATCATTTACTCTTTTTTTCCAAAATATACCAAAATGATGGAAATATACATATTAGTATTCTTACCTCATACCCAAGTTCCCTCAGAAATAATCTGATGAGAGGTGGCTCCGTGCCGAAGAACTTGGTCAGCTTCTTCACCCTCGAAGGATTGGAGAGCGCCGGCAGTTCTGAATCCTTGATCAGGGGTTGCGACTGTGACCTGACCATCGCCATGCTCGTTTGCGTTCTGAGGGTCGCAATCTCGCACTTTATGCTCTCCATTTCCTGCGAAAGCCTGGTAGTAGTAGAGTCTTGGAAATTTCAGCTCGTTTCGCACTGTAATTTTTTCTAACAATTTTCTCACCTGTATCATCAAATGCTGAGTCCTCATCTCTGAACTTAGGTGTGCCACGGATCTTGCCAATGTCACCACGTGCGACTCCAATCGCTGGAAACGCTTATTGATGCTCTACGCAATAAAAATTATTTTACGTAGGGATTTTATAATAATAGAATTGTTTTAAATGAAATGGAATAAAATAATTTCTAAATCATAAAATAATACAGTACTTTCGAAATTTTATATCCATTGAAAGTTTTACAAGAAAAATCTTTTATATATAAGTAAAGAGAGAACAGAAAAATATCCATTAACTTTGCTAACCTTGATGTCTTTGGCCTTCTTCATTCTATCATCTATCACGTGAGATCTACGTTTATCATGATGCCTCGTGACAGGTCTGGATGACACGGACGATGTTGGCAACGATGAAACGGAACCATAACTAGTAAGTCCTCTCGCCTTTCGTCTCTTTTTCACGCTTCCGCCGAGTAATTTAAGTACCTGCGACAGTTTTTTCGCATGCAAATTGAGATAAATTCAATTACGTTGGTGCCATGAGCACTTTTAGCGTACCATGTCCTCGTTAATTTTAGCGCGTACTCCCATTTTACCGCGACCGTAGAAAAGTGACATGTCTAATATTTTTACGTTTAAATTTACAATAAATGTGAGTTACTTTGCATTTTGTCTTTACATATTATTATATTGATTTTTTAGAGAAGATATAATAATTAAATATGATTATATCATTAATAATATAGTAAAGAAAGAAAAAAAGAAAGAGAAAGAGAAAAGAATCTTATCTCATTTTAATATTTAAAATATATAATATAATAAAAAAAATTTAGTTTCGAAGAAGATAGAAAGCGATACAATTTTATTCTAATTTTTTATGACACAAATTTCTCGAAAAAAAAATCAGAATAAAATTAAAAATAACAAATGTTTGTATGTTAAAATGATATTAAACTTACTTCGCTGTACATATTTTCTAATCCTTCCAATTGCTTCCTAATCGTCCTTGCGTCGGTCGTACTGAGATCAGAATCGCTCCTATCCAACATGGAATCCAAATCAAGTCCGGTCGTTGTGGATGTTAAATCAGCGGCTTCTATTCCAAAAACTGAAAGAGAAAAACATTTATATAGATATGCAATTATGGATTTGTAAAAATCTTGATGATAAAAACATTTATTAACTATTGAAATTAAATATGACTAATTGATCAAGTATGGAAAATTAATATAATGATAATTATATATAATTAATTTTAATTTTTATATAATTATCATTATTACTATTTGTGTATGGAAATAAGAAATACGATAAATATTAAGAATTTACAAGAGAAATAGTAATTTAATATTAAAAAATAAAATTAATAAATGTTATGTCTATAAAGGAAGAGTAAATTTTTAGAAAATGTTTGCCTCTTTAAAGCGATTAACTACTTACGATGAGAAAACTTTTTCGCAGTTTCCTTCTTGGATGTCGAGGCGCCACGATGTTTTGTGCTACTTGAGAAACCTCTCTTCTCCATAGCTTTGCTGTAATCGCTGTAATTTGGTTTCGATCCATACGGTAAACTAAAATTTCCACAAAGACGCTATTATTAATACTAACAAGCATTAAGCTTTCGCACATAATGCAGCATTAAAATATATAAGTTTGAGATTAAAAAATAAAAAATGAAAGAGATTAGATTATTTCATATTAAACAGCGGAAAATTATTTTATAAAGTTAAGTCATTAAAAATGTTAAGAAAAAAACAGTGATTTGTTTATAATTTATACTTTAACAAGTTTAAATATATTGTAATTTATATTTAATATTTTAATTTAATACACTCGCATTTTAATTATTGCTTTAAAATATAAATATAAATATAATTCTATTAAAAATATCATCAAAAATTATTCTTTATAAGGATAATTAAATAATTATTAAAGATTTTATTTTGTTGAATGAATATCTCGCAAGAGTCTTGTGACTAAGAATTTAAAAGATGCAACGGGGAAGCGTTTATTTTTAACATCGTAGAAGCGATTTTTCAGCCAGACACCGATATTGGAATTTCGATATGGGAAGGCAACAAAATCGGAAATGGTTCGGGGCGGTGACCGGAAGTAACACCGGTTGTGCGAAGAAGAGACCTTGTTTGAAGTCAGATTACCTCGTTGAGTATCGATTTCTCGGCGTACGTGGGCTGTCATGGGGTGACAACGGCGGTAGAGGTGGTGTCACTGAGGATACACTTTCGGACAAGGTAGAGTGCGCCATCGCTGGAACGTCCCTGGGCTCTAAAATACTCCTCAACTCTGACTCCACTATGTCGACCCACTCAGAATCTTGTACTATGAAAGAGGAACAAGAAGATAGAAACCATGGATTCTCGATAGACTGACGAGCGATCGATACTTCAAAACTTTACAAGAGAGAAATGTAGCTGAATAATTGAGAATATAGGAAACTATAAATATAGTTATTAAGATAATTTATTACTTTTATTTCTTACTTAATATGTTATATAAATAGACAAAGTGATCTATTGTAAGATTTCTTTCAAAAAATATAATAACTCATCATTTTTATATTCTTGTAATAAAAAATAAATAATAAAAAATTATTGAATAATAAAAAAATTTTCCTTATACAAAACATAATTTTTTAAACTTTTTTAAACTTTTTTAAACTTTTATTAAAATTTTTTAAGATGCGAGATAATGCAATAAGCAAATATTAATAGATCTCAAACGTAAAATAATTATGTTTTGCATATAAAAAATTTTTTATTTATACTTATTTTTGAATTGTTGAAAAAAATTATATATAATATAAATAATATTCTATGGAGAAAAATTTTCTTTCTAATAACTCAATATTATACTATCAAGATAATTTAGATTGAATGTATAATTATCGATCTCTCTGTCATTAAGTTTTTTAAAAAATAATAATATAATATATATAAAAATTGATCAAAAATGATATAATAATAATATAATATGTATAAAAGTTGATCAAAAATGAGTTAAAAAATATAGTCGAAAAATTAAAAAAAAAATCAGGAAAGCGATCCATACCTTGTGCCAAAGTCTGATCATCGGGTGGCGGGCGTCTTCCACTTGAATAAATTGCCGAGCCTCTTCCGGAATCGACATTCGAGGAACTCTGACCGGCCTTGTCGTAATCCGAGCCCGAGCCTTGATTCTGGATCTTCAATCGACCAATACCCTGCTCCAGGTCGTCTTTCCTGATATCCGATTTCATTGCGGTCTCTTTTCCAGAGTATTGCCCGCCCTCGAGCCTCTTCGACGCTTCGCCGATCATTTTCGTGGCGAAGCCAACCCTCAAACCATCTGCATCGCTGGCGGGTTTAGAATTAAAGTGACTCTCTTGCTCCGCTCTTTTCTGCAACTCCTCGATCCTCTTTTGCACGGAATTGCCCTCCGCGTTTTGACTTCCCTCTTGACTCGACGATCCTTGCTCTTGTTCCTTTTTCGAGGCCCGCGTTTCATCTCGTCGGATACCAAAACTGGTCTCCGGACGATACTCCTCGTTCCTTTGCGAGCTGTTTCTTCCAGGTGTTTCACCTTGATTTCGATCTTCCACTGTGATCTCATACCTAAAACAAAGTGTTTTACAGATCCACATTTTAGAATAGCTTACAATATTTATTTCATTTTTGTATCTTCATGTATTGAAAAAAGATTTCAGCCACAAAATAAACAAAATCGCAAACTAGTCTAAAAAACTCTCTAATACATCTCCCAATCTTACCTCTCCTTGTCTAACGGGTCCACCGTGAGGTTCTTCATGTTCTCCGCGGGATTTTTGACGGCTTCAACGTTTCGCTCGTCCTCATAGCAGAGTTGTGGTTGCGAAGCCGCCTTCTCGATACCCTTAGCGGAGTTTCGCCTCTGAAACTCTGTCTCCTGAATGCTCTCGGTCTTCATGTAAACCTGGGGAACGCCGTATCGAGGTCTACCCTGAGCATAATGATAATACATCTCCTGACCCGACACACGAAGTTCTTGCGTCTGTCTGGACGTGCTCGGAAGATCGATTTGCGATCTGGACATGGCCTGCCTGGCCTGCTGGTATTGTTGATAGGAGACGCTATTAGCAAAGTACGACTGCTGCACATTTCGCGCACCCGCTGTTTGCGAATTCGCCTGCCCGGCCATTTGTTGCTGATGCATCTGCTGGATCAGTTGACGCTGATGCAAGTTCTGAGCATGCTGCTGCGCGAATCGCGGACTCTGATGATGATTTTGATTTTGATGGAGCAACTGTTGGGGACTTTGGAAGCTCTGGCTTGTCGGCGGCATCGCGTTACCTACTTGATGTTGCTGCACCGACAGACCATGCGGTTTTTGCGTGCCTTGCCCCTGAAGCAACCAACCGAATCGTTAACAATGAGTTACCGTTAAATAAAACGTGTTAAGATGAATACCTGTTTATCTCTTGTACGTTTGATAATATATTAGAGTTCATCTTAGAATTTAATTCATCTTTCAAAAACGCTTCCGTAAAGGAAGTGAGTTACAATGAGTTTACGAAGCTTGTCCATTGTGCAAGCAACGGAAAATATTAAGAAAGCATCATTATGAATGATGTACTGCATTGCATCTCACTAATTTAACATAGTATTACATAGCTTAATAATATCACACAACGATCATTATTTAATAAATTAAAATCTGTGATAGACTTGTCGTTATATGTTATTGTTAAATTACGTATACGTTAAATTTCGAATATCACATTGCATCTAACGTTTCACGTGCAATTGCTTCTGTATAAAAGATGGCTGGTGATTGTCTATGTTGTTCCATCGTTTGAATATATATGAAGGAAATGTCACCATGAGAGAACATGTGACAAGCTGTGAGACATTTATTTTTCTGTCTGTTGAAGAGCGTCTTTGTATCCTGCACGCGAGGAATATCCGCATCCGCATAAAAACGCGACAATATTTTATGTACGAAACGTATGTATTTTATGTATTTTATTACGATATATATTTCATTTAATTAAATCTTTTTATCATAAAACAATTTCAATAAATTTCTTTTCATAAATTTCTTATTAAAAGAAATTCTTTTATTACAAGTTAAATTTTTTGAGAAAAACAAGAAAATAATTCTTTATATAATATTATTCATGCGACGTAGAAAGAATATCTTGAATATATTGCATTTTTAAAAGAAAAATGTTTGAAAAAAGGTTAATTTTATAAAAGAGATATTTAAAGATATTTCAAAAGAATTAACTTTTTAGAAATAATATACTGTATCTAATTAATTTTATAAAATAATAATTAACAAATAATATTACATTTAAATTATTATTCCAACAGCTTAAAATGTGACTTTTATTCGCTGAAGGGAACCTGTAATTTTAATTTTTAAAGGAGTCCCTTTTTCATTTCACAATTTCAAAAAATTCTTTTCTGCCACACGCAGATACTTTTTTCCAAGAAACAGCATAAAATAATCAGCTCTTTCTCCGTCTCGAGGGTCTTTAATATCGAATTTTCACTTTATTCAGTCTCTTGTAACTTTTATCAAAGTTAAACTATACTGAACATTTTTCATCGGAATCTTATATGAATTGTACCTGTCCTTGCGAGGGATTCTGATGGACTCCCTGATGCATTTGCTGGCCAGTCATACCGCCCGATGCCTGAACTACGTATTCTCTCGTAACGTTTTGCACCTGCTGCGCACCTGTCGCGGTTTGGCCGAAAGCAGAAACTTGGGTTTGATGAACCGTTTGAACTCCTCCTGGTGGAGTGTGGTGGGTCACATGGAGTTGAGCACTCTGTCCCGGTAAATTCGGTTGAATGGTCGTGGACGGTTGTAGTTGGCCTGGCAAAGGTACATTTTGCTGGTTGCTTTGATAGACGTACGAGTGACCGTACTGGCCTGAGACGAGAGAGAGTTTCAATATTATTTCTATTCATTATGTTATTACGGGAAAAAAAGATTAACTCTAGCACCAGTCGTATGCGTAGGGTATCTACATGAAAAAAAAAATTTTTTTTTAACTGCACGATATCCAAAACTTGTTGCAGTTTATTATTGAATTGAGATGAGTAAGTCATTTTTTTTTCTTAAATCTTTTCTTAAAAATATATAGTACACGCTGTGTATAAGTGCTTTGAACATATATTTCTATTATCCGTGAAATTGAAGTAAAACTAACATGTTGCATCATGAGGCGTACTTATTCTGAACACCATCGGGAATGCTAAAATGTATGAATATGCAATACGCTATTAAAGTTAATTAAAAGGAAAGTTTCTCCTCCAGTTAACTACACGTTTCAAACGCACATTTCATGAACAAGTTATTTATTATGATTATAGAAATTGCGACAGCTCATGGAAAAGCTGAAACGGTAAAGACACAAGTGTGCAATTTTAACAAAATTCGAGATATTAAGAGAAAAATTTATTATAAACACGATCAAAAGCGGAAATAGTTAAACAAATTAGATTAAAATTGTACGGCTGATTTCAAAAATGTTTTCCAAACCATATTCATATATTATCCATATTAAAATATTCACATCGATTCTACAAGTATAATTTTATCTCTTATTAATATATCTGCCCTCTCTCTCTCTCTTTTAAATTATTTTATTCAACAGTTGGAAATTTATGAATCACTAATTTTACATTCGAAACGTAAGGATTCAACATTCACCTATCGATCAATAATTTCAAATCGAGCAAACGATTAGAGAGATATTGTTTGAGTATTAAAGGCATAGTAAATCGTGAAATAATAGCAACGATATTACATGATTTTAGAATGTGATTTTAGGCTGTGATTTTAGAAGTTTGCACAATAAATAGTTTGTGAAAACAAAGAAAATCTTGTGTCACGTTTTAAGTAAGCTATAAATGATAAGCTGTGAATTATGAGTGTGAAATAAGTTCACTTATTAAATAAAAATCAGAGTTGTAATTTCAATACAATATATTCCACATCAATCATCAGCTGTAGCAGGTAATGTTACGTTGAATATCATTGTTTAAAGATAATTTAAAGATGATTGAAATTCGCAAGTTATTTTTAATTTATATAAATTTTATTATAATTATATAAATTCTTATATAAATTCTTTATTTATAAATTTATATAAATTCTTGGAAATATAGTACTACATAATACGTACTATAATTTTTAATTTACATAAATTAAAAATAAGTTGCGAATTTCATAATTTTTAAATTATTTTTAAACAATGATATCCAATGTAATATTACATAGGAATTTTTGTATAATATATAATAAGTTAATTGCCATTTAATAAACAAAGCAATCAATGAATAATAATATTTCTCTTACAACAACTTATGTGATCTTATATGATCTCTCTAATTGCATTTTTTATGAATAAAAAATTAGTGTGCTTCAAAGAAACTGCAGAAAGAGCCGTTATTATGCACACACGTTATGCACTTGCTCGCTGCTTTGCATTTAGAAAACTCGCGATTCCGTCATTTAACGTTCCGCTCAGCAAGGCTCTTTCCTCAGATTAATTCATTAACATTAATGAGCTCTAATTAACGAGCACCTTGCGGTAAGCATCGCGCCTTAACACGCCTAATTACTTAACGCGGCGTCTTACTCGGCCGTGTTCGACTTACCGTAAGCATTTTTCGAATATTGCTGCACGTTAACCGACGATTCCTGCGCGCGAGGCTTCCCGTAGATTCCCTCCTTCTTCCTGGCCTCGTCCTCGTCGATGCTCCTGCTCGACTTTCGCAGCTCTTCCGTGACGTTATTGAGACTGGCTTCCGGTTCCGGCTCGACGTCCTTACGACTCGGTCCGAAACGGCTCGAGATCATGTCCTTAATGGTGTGATAGGTCCTGGACAACGACTTTGTCTTCTCCTCGTCAATCTTCGTCGTCCTTGGAACCGCTCCTGATGTTGACCTGACAGAAGGTTTAATTACAATCGGAAGTTCCACTTCTCGAGGGCTTCACGTGACACAGATAATAATAATATAATAATAATAATCACTTAGATTGCGCTCGGAAAATGATATATTTTGTTTTATTTATATCAGCAATAAGTAACATTGATAGAACATCAGCATCTGAGATATAAATTTTCTCAGAAAAGGATTTAAATAATTCATGCAAGCGTGAAATGAACGGGATAATTACGAGTAGGTGTCCGACGATTGATGGCTTCTCGCTTGACCGTCCTGTCTCACTTCCTGCATTTGAGTTCCCTGCAAAAAATGAGCACACGTCGTTAATGATCGGCACACGTCGGTATTAATAAAATATCCTGTATATCGCGTAAAACATGAAGCGTGCGCAATGTCTAACATAAATCCGTTAACTTTGCAAACTGCGGTTTCATTAGACGCGTCTAATTAAGTCGTCTAAACGAGGAAAGCGTAATTGTGCATCGGCAGCGACAACAAGAATGTTACAGCGTAGCGTTTCGCGAAGCAGCGCTTACCAAGCTTATCGAGAAAACTTCCCTTCTGATTAGAAACGATCTAAACGGCAAGGAGATGAAATCCAATTAAAGTTAAATAAGTTGCCCGTCCGTTGTTAACGAGCTGATACATTAATTAAATTATTCGCCACTCGTGAGCGTACGTTAATTTGCCGACACGCGTACGTTCATATAATTACGAACTTTATTCCACACGCATTTGCGCTAGATTAAGGTGGTTTACGCATCAGAAAGTAGCTGGATACACGGATAAAATTTTTGGACAATTTATTACTCGAGCATAAATCCTGATTTTAAGGTCCAAAAGACAGATGCTATAAATATTAAGATAAAATGTCAAATTAATATGAAATATTAATTTGAAAGCAAATGCTACGAGTCATAATTAAACGTTTATTTTATAGCAATTTTTAACTACAGTTCAAAAATGATTCTCTCTAGTAATTCCGCGCATGATTCTTGAGAGATGATTTGACAAACAATTCATGGCTTCGAAGTGACGTGCATTTATGACACGAGTAATCCAAAATCCCAAAGTCGTTTAACTTTCAACGAGCGGAACTCATCGAAAGTTTGTCCCCAAAACGTATCTTCGTGTCGAGAATCGTTTAATAAAACCGGAGAGACCTCAGAAATAAACCCTCGCGATTTTAATGTTTATAGTTCTGGTCCAACTTTGGCGGGAAATTATACGAAGTCAAACCTCCGCAGATACGTAATTTCACGGACAAACAAGAATTTAACCGCTACGTTATGCACATAAAAGAGATTTGTAGTTCAAACGAAATCGTTGGAACGATTTGCGAAATCTATCTTTTCTCAAAGAGAACGTCGAACGGATAATACTTCAGTAAACCGCACGCTTTTATGACGAGAGGAGAATTAAGGGCTGAGCGTTCTGCGAAAATATACCATTGATTGAAGTAAAGAGTGAAAATAGACTGAATATATTTTCATTTAATTATTACGATCATTTTATTCACAAAATCTATTTAAACTATTTTATAAAAAGGAAAGAGAAGGAGAAAAAAGTCTCATAAGAGGTATATTTATTTAGTAAGCAAAGGATATAAACTATAAAGTAAAATAATGCAATCTTTATTTTCTTGCAAGAAAATAGATCATTTTTAACACAAAATCGAGAAAGTAAAATAGACGTAAAATTAAAGCATTATACATTTAGCTTAAATTTCTCAGAATATAACATGACATTAATTGTAAGAGACAGGAGAAAGATTTATGGTAAAACTGAGAAATTCATTTTATAATCAGTTATCGTATATAAAAATATTAGAAATATTTTCTAAAATAATCATTGGATAAATGATACACATTCCTGGTGTGCGAAATTATAAAAACTTTACGACACGTTTATGGGAAATAATTTAATTCGGTTCGTCAAATACAATATGTTACCGTCCTAACAAACTCGAAGAAGAGAATTGCCGTCCAGACAGTTAACAGCCGAAGCTTCAACTGGGAATTTCAAAGTTAACGCAACTGAATCCTACGTTCTCGGGAAGAGATGCGCCTGGAATAACAACGGCTCGTGTATGGGGCCCAGCGGACACGCATCTCGCATACGGGAAAGCCTCTCTGACTTATGGCTACGCTGATACCGGGACGAGTAGTACGAGAAACAAAAGTTGAGTTTCGTACCCGGCGGCGCTACGCTTGGAAAAATCATAGAATTGTCCGATTCGAGAGAATGCTTCTACATCCAAACTTAAAAAAATTAAAATAGATTAAAAAAATTAAAAATAATAAAAAAAATAAAAAAAAAATAAACGACCAATCAAACGTTAATTAATATTAATGCAATAGATATGTTTTAATATCTGATATAATAATGTGAGCTTGTATTAATATATTATATGATAATGAAAACGGTTTTATAGTCAAAACTGAGAAATATGGATTGTCTATTATCCCTCTCTTCGTCCTTTATATATTGTTACAAAAGATAGTATTTTTAGAAACTTAAACTCTCTCTTTGCATCTTTTGAAACATTATATAAGACACATTCATAGAAATGTAACTCGAAAGAGTTTTTTGAAAGTTAAGGTAAAATGTGGAAGATAAAATATAAAAACTGTATAATATTTTGCATTTTTCACGCGCCCTCCTCAAACTCTTCAATTTGTCGCATTTTCACACGTCGGAGAAACTTCCACAGCAAACCTGTAGTTTCGAGACAGACAGCCATATGATGTTAAAAAGAGAAAATAATGCTGAAAGCTGCAGCATTGACTTTCACGAAAGTAGGAAAAAAATTTGCTTATGGAGTGCTCGAAGTTAGCAAAGCATCCAGAGACTCTGAGAGCGTTGGAAATGGGTTTACGAGCTGCGTAAAACCGTCTCTTCTTCTATGCCAACACTATAATCACGTGCGACGTTGATTAAGTGTCGTTTCGCACGATGATATGTATTATGTAAAGCAACTTCAAATAATTCGAAAGGCAACGAAAGTTGGCTATTCTGCACGCCCGAGCGTATCGAGCTCATAGGCCATGTACGAAATAGCAAAAAGATTTCTTCTACACATTTGCGCGATATTTGTAGCAAATTACGGCAATTCGGAAACTCCTTTCCCGTCTTCAACAAGTATGACAGCAATATTCGCCATAATAATACTGTAAGAACGAAAACATGAGTTACGATGGATTACAGACATTAGTCGACATATGGCAGATCTTGATATTTTCATTAATATATAATTTAGCAACATTATGAAGACTAGGATTTCAGGAACTCTGATAACTATTGTAGAACTTTTGTTATTATAATGATGTCAAAATGGGAAAAAATTGTATGGGAAACCTTAAGAATTCTTTTTGAGAATAAGTAATATCTTTTTATTCATATGAGAATACTTGCATCTTATCTTGCCAAGAATTATATTTTAAAAATATGTTACATATATTATTACACAAAATATGATGCAAATATTTGATAAAATAATCTTCTTTTTCCCAGATCCCAAGATCCCAGATCTAATAAGAAGTTCATATGTTTGGAAATTATATAATAATATTTTCACGTTTTCAGCAGAATTGGATTTTTCTTTCGCACCTGTGCAAGAATTATGCGTGTAAGTAACATTTTGTATTCACATAATAATACTTGCTTAATCTTATCTTTCAGGAATTATATTTCAAAAAATACGTCAGATATATTATTTTAGTATTATACACAATGCAACGCATAAAATGTTTGAATAATCTTCTTTTTACCCAGATCTAATAAAAAGTTCATGTATTTTCATGAACATCAGAGGAATTTACCTTTAAATATTTATGGGATATTTCTTTTGCGTGTGAAACAAAAATATTAAAGATTTTAACTTTTTCAAAGATTTCAAGATTTTTATTAAAATATTAATCAATTCAATCATTATTTTTATATTAGAGATCACGTTGATATATATGTAAATTATCTTGATAAAAAAAATTTCTAGAATATCTCTTGCGAAAAAAGAGAGAGAATCGCAAAAAAGTGAAATTGCTGTAACGCGAAATTTGCTGTCATGCGGGCATATACACCCACACATATGTAGGGATGTATAAAGCTTCGGAACAAGAAAACAAGAGATTTTTTCACACTGAGAAGAGCTTAGGGAAATTTTGCAACAAAGACGACTAATCAATTACATGGTGAGCGCAAACAATATCGAGCGAGGGTATATTTATTGCATACACACGTAATAACGCAAGCTATATCGTAGTTTCACAACTAATCGCCTGGAGCATTTCGTAAACGATTGCATTGATCGCAGGATCAATGGAATGGCCAATGGGCTATGCGAGGACAGGCAACTGCACACTTCATCCTACGCGCAATTTCGTAAACACGATATAGGCTGATTCGTAGTGTACTTAGAGTATATTAACAGTTAAGATCTTGCTTTTGTGACGCATGCAAATACGTCAATATCGTATATAGCGATTGCACGTATACAACCTCTCCTATTTCTCATAATACGTCGTCAAAGCGATTTTAATTTAGAGAGTGCACGATGTAATATCCAGCAATATAATCAACAGACAAATTGTTCCTAATTAATAACGGTCTTTAACTTGAAAATATTTTAATTAAAAATGTGGCTCTCTTCTTAATTAAACGAATTAACTTGTTATCACATTGTGTACAATATATTTCGCTGATGCTAACTGAAAATTATTTTGCAAATAAATAAATAACATTAAAATAAATTACAAAAATATCGAAACATTAAAAGCTAAAAGTATTAAGAAATTATGACGTAAAAATATGAAAGAGGAGAGAGAACATCGGGAAAGGGTGATCATAGGAATCAATCATCTATATCAATCATTCAAAAATTGAATAAAAGAGCATATGTATCACCTTTCAATCGAGCATCAATTTCCACACCCATCTTTTCAGGTATCAATACTCGGAAAAAAGAATGCGTTACCAACGCCCATTGAGAGCGGGATACGTGGGTGGCACGTGTAAATAATGCAGCGTACACATGACGCTTGATTAATCGCGGGATTTCGTAACAATCGTCCTATGACAATGGAGCAATTGTCAAAGTGGGACGGAAAATTCGTCATTCTGGCTACCGACGGAAGTGTAACACAGGCAATAAATGATACGAGATTCAACATCGATGAAATGTACTCTTTGATGACGCGACGTCTATTAATCCTTTGGATCTTTTAAATCTTGATTATTTTACTATCGAAAGATATTTATTGCTTATGCATTAAAGAACGAGTATAGATATTATGTAAGAGAAAAGGAAATTTTCGCAATTTTCTTTATGTTAACAACTATTGTCTGGAAAAAAATGCGAGGAAGTTGATGTGATTTATTCATATCTCTTCCCTCTCCCTTCTTATAAATTTATCAAGGAAGATCAGACAGAAACTCACCTCTTGAACCCAAGCCTGTTGCTTAATCGGCGCATCCGGCGCGATGGCGACTCTTCCAGCGGTCCTCTGTTTGTATTCGTGAAGAATAGGGATCTTGGAATTTTTGTCTCCCGATGACAAAACCAATTCACGTTCTATCTACGATCAGAGAAAAACAATGGCTATTATTTACTTAAAATAATCTCCTTTTTTCTCGATTATATTATTTAAGAATCACTTGAAACTTTTCTTATAAATATTTATTTATTCAGTGATGATCATCAAATGGTCAATTAAAATAAAATAATTAACATAAATTATATTATAATTTATATATTAATATATTATACGCATTAATTGTCCCACAAATTTTTTGCACGTTAATTTACGTTTCTTAATTTATAATTTTTTTAATGCTTTAATTTATTTTTTCAAGTAAAATTATTTCTTTATTTAAGAGAGATAATTTAGTCTAATATTAGAACAAATTATTATATAATATTATTAATAATTAATACACCATATTGTTTATCTTTATTATTTATACATTATTATTCATGCGCAAAATTCTTAATTCTTCTTTCGTTTCTAATTTTCTATTCTGCAATTTTTGAAAATCGTTTTTACGGAAATAATCGATGCATTATGGAGCAAATTAATCTACAAATAAACTTCCTTTCTTAGCTTGTGCGCGCAACAAAGCGTGCTCGTTGAAAGCACCTAGGTAAACAGAGCAAAAACAAACGGATGATGTATGTATAGTAGCCCACAGAAAGAGAGAGAGAGGGGCAGAGACAGAGACAGAGAGAGAGAGAGAGAGAGAGACGGTCATCTCGCCGAGAGATTTTCCGTGAAGCTTTTCCCGGCTACACGTCCAAGCCAGGTGAGGCATCCATGTCGATGCGAGTTCGCACGCACGGCACGATGATACGCAAAGTGCGTGCATAGAACCGGGCTCGCCTCGGCAACGGCCGACGTGCGTTCGTTGCGTGCGCGTAATAACACGCCGCATGGAGTAGGTGTCACTGAACTAAACTGGCTGCAACATCGGCCGCAACTCCTAAGCATCACGCTCCGAAGAAGAAAGCAAGCGTGATGAAACGAGCTACCGTCGCGGAAAATGAATGCACGTAGGTATAAGCAGGCAGGCACAAGCAACATAATCACGTTTGCGGATATAACTATACTCGGAGCTGCATGGAGTTCGTACGGAGATGATTTCCCCGAGACTCGATTCCTCACCAGTTGAATCGGTATCGCATCTTAGTGCGCGAAAACAATTCTTTTTATCATCAATCTTGTACCAGAAATAAATCCACGCGTGGTATTTCGACTTTCATGATTTTCAAAATTTTTTAAATGTTTGATCAGATCGATGGAAAACTAGAAAAAAATCATAGAACTCCACATATCCTGAATGTTAATATTTATTTACTTCTCTCGAGCGACCAATATTTACATTTTTGGCGTATTTATTTTTAATTATTTTATTGAATTTTCCCTTGTGCATCAGGTTATGAATTCTCTACATATGTAATAGAATTTATTCTTGATCGCAATTTATGCTCGATAGTAAAAACAACACGCCGCGAGTTAACTTTAGCCACCACTAATTTGGCGGCGAAAGCAAGCAAGTAGACGGACTTATATGTACGAAAAATTAAAATAATGTATAATTTACTGCTAAATATAATTTCCTACTTTATTTATATAATATTAAAGAACAAAAAAGCGATAATATTTAATGTTAATTATTCAGTGGAAATATAAATCAAAGAGAGAAAGAGAGAGATTTTTTGTCAGAAAACTTGGAAGTATATAACACAATGTGTAATTCTTCTTATAGCAAATGTACATTGTTTTCTTTGCTTGCTTTTTTTGCTGCAAATAATCAAATTATTGCGAGAAAGACTTGATATTTATATCGGTGGAGTGGCTACGCGCAGACAAAATGTAATACATCGCACACAAACGCGCACACATGCATGGCGATATATATTGCGTCATAAAGCTGAATTATAAAAAAGTTTAGCGAGATAAAGAGGAAGAAAGAGGGAGAGAGAGAGAAAGAAAGAATGTTTTGCGGAAGAAATAAAGCGTGCTAATAAAGGAATGACGTCACGAGAACGCGTATTACGCGGTGCAATGGGGCGTAAGCTCGCGAATAAAAATACCGATCGATTCATCCCCTTCCGGGAATAATAGGATGCGATAGAAACAGCCCCGAACAGACTGTCCATGCTGATATTGGATTCTCTCCTAACTACAGCTGTTATGTCTCATACTTAGGGGACATTGATAAAAGGTAGTCTCTTAAGTACGGGTGATTTCTTTAGTAGCAATAATGTTGAATGCGGGGGGGAAATAATTTATTGCGGCACGCATCAATTTTAAAGGAAAGGAGGATATTTTTCTTAAAATAAAATTGATATCTTTAAGAATTAAAATATCGATTTTTTAAAATAATAATTTTCAAGTTATAATTAAAAAAAGACATAAAGAAATTTTTCCCATAATATTATATATAATGATAAAAATTCCTTTTTAATCAGGATAATTTTACCCTTTCACTTTAATATAAATTTCGATGGATGGAGATAGATTATATAGAAATTTTATCTAAGCTCATCTACCTCAGATACAGAGAAGCACGCGCGTATATAATTATTTCATTCCATCGATTCATTAGATAGCATTCTTCGCGTTTCAATTGAATTCTCGTTAAAAAGCAAGAGGCAATGTAGTCCAAATGTAAAATGAGGGGTTGTAATCACTCTTTCGCTGTCAAAGGAGAATTAATCCGCGGAGAGTCCAGCCTTTCGTGTCACGCGATAATTAAAACGCTATATGACGATCGATCGCGCATGACAACGTTCAAGAGAAAAGGGTTAATTAACGTTGATTCGCGGTCGGATATTCGTTTCTGAGCAATCAGCGTGATGGGCCGTGTCGCTTTAATAATTTTGCTCTCCGATCGAGAGCGAGCGCGTGTGTCACCCAGCTATATGCGAATAGCATGCATGCGTACGATGTGTGACGTCACGCGACCACCGGCCGCGTGAAAAATTGACGATAAAAGGCATCGGCTGAACGCGTCAAGGACCAAAGGCCAAGATGTTGATTGTCCCGATTTATTATTCTCACCTGCGGAGAAATACGGTGTGTGTATCTAAACGACTATCGCGGAGCGCGAAGGCCCCCTTCCCGACTTCCGGCCAACGGTACGCGCGTATGATGCCCCCTTTGTCTTGGTGAAGAACCTCTGAGAATCTTCCCAAGAGCGTAACCAGCGTACAACGAACTGTTACCGAAGATTTCTCCGAGGACTAATTCCTAACGTCGAACACGGAAGATCAACGAGCACCGTTCGCTTATCTGCGCGATTGCGTCATGATGCTCTGCTAATTAAATACAATTGGCTAACGTCGGATGACGAAAATCGAGAGATAAATCGCTGTAATGAGTCGATGTGCGATTGTCTTGATATATAAACAATGGAGAAAAGCAGAAATTAAAAATAAATTAAAGCGTTAATAAAGGGAATAGCATGATGGTCGAAATGAATCAAGAGCTTATGAGAGCTCAAATGTTTGAAGAGTAGTAATAATATTAATCTCGGAACATAATCTGGAATAATTTGAGCAATTAGCTCTACACTCGTTTCGCCAATCCTCATCGTGTCAATCCTTTCCCATTGACAATTGTAATTGTAATTTTTAACTAACCTAATAAATTAAATAAAAAATAATATTATAATAGTATTATAATTAATATTATAATTAAATAATCAATATTATAATAATATTAATACAATTAATATTATTATTAATATAATATGTTTAATTATAATAATGCAAATAATGTAATTAAGTTGCAATATTAGTTGCATTATTCACTTATTTTATTGTTAGATTTTAAGTGCTATCAATTAATATCCATTATTTATAAAGAAGTTGAATGTAATTTTCTCTTTTTAAATCGAGGAAAAGCGTAAATATTCGTCCGAATATAAAATAAATACTAAGTAGAATATTAAATAGAATAAATTTACATCACAGTTGCAGAAAATCCATTACAATTCTTAATGATTTATGTCAGCGAAATTTTCGCAACGATTTATCAGCATTTTCCGCGGTTTTCTTATAACGACGCTATAATTGACTTGACTGTTTTCATGAAACTTATTGTTAGTATAATTCTAGAAAATGTAGTCTTTTATACCGGATAAAGCATTATGCTTCGAACTATTTACTCGTTCTTTTACTTAACTTAAATAAAAAGCACAAATGTGGAATTTCCTTTTTCAGAGAGTTGCAAATACTCACGTTATGTCATCGATTAAAACTGAGTCTCGATAATTGCGTAAAATTGTCAACGAAAAATCACTTTCTCCCTCTTTTTTTCTCTACTGAAGTTTTCATAATTAATGAGTGTTCGGGCAAAAGTGCACGCAACTATAAATAACATTCGAAGAAAAGAAAGTCTAATTCTTGCTGTTGCAAACATATATTAAGTGTCGCAGAATCTGTAACTTTCATTGTAATAATTTATTCACAGATTAAAAAAAAAACAAAACCTTTTTTAAAAGAGAAGTTTGAAAAAAATATTATGTTACAATATCTTTTAATATTTAATATACAAAATATCCTGTGTGTGTGTAATATTATGATTATACAATATTAAAAATTTAAATTTTATAAAATAAAATTCTTTTATAAAATATTTTATAAAATAAAATTCAATCAAAACTGATTTAAAAAATAATTATTAACTGATATTAATTGATTTAAAAAGTATTAATTGATTTAAAAAGTAAATTATTTTGTGATGATTATTTAACATTTTATCTCATTACTGTCACTTTATAATTAATATTTTTTATTATACTAAGAATTTAAAATGATAAGTTAATTAAATTAGTTCTGAAATTAATTCTAAATTAATTCTAAATTTAATTCTAAATTAATTCTAAAATTAATTCTAAATTAATTAAAGAAGATGCTCTTCGATTTTCTAAATCTAAATCTTTTTTGCTCAACACGTACATTTTTGTACAGCAACTGCGAACACGTGTGCCGTAGAATTAATGCGTTCGGTGGCTTGTTAATTAGTTCGTTTATGAGCGAGCACGAAACAACATAATTCAAGTCTCACAAAATCAACGAATGCTTTAAAAACCAAAAGACAAAATATATATTGATATTTTTTACATTGTTTGTATCACTTTTTATTACTATAAGAAAAATATATTATAATATATTATAATATACTTTAAATATATAATATGTTTTTAGTATATTATAAAATATTATTCCAGAAAAATATTTATATTTTAAATATCTTATGTAATATTTTCGAGAAGATTTTTTCTTTTCAATCCACGGCTAAGTATTTTTGCAATGACACAGTTTTATCTGGAAAAAATTGTGGCGAGTAGAAAGAAAGGTTATTAAAATGCAGATATAATAAGAAACTTAAAAAGAACATTTTTCAAAAATGGAAATTTGCTCGGGACGAGAAGAGATTTAGAGCCATCGCTGGCTGCATTATGCGCCACGGCGTGTCATTATTTTTTTTTGTCTCATTGTTCCTGGTACATACGGGACGACATGAAGCGAACAAGGTGTTGCGCGCTCTCGTACTCGGATAATTACTGACCTGTTCGTCCAGTAAAGGTGCGCTGTAGTAAGTTCTTGCTTGGAAAGCTTAGCAAAGAATCTTCTACGGACAAACTAGTGATTCTAACTAGTGTGATTTTAATATGAATCTTGATGCTACATATATATCGTATGCTTTTTGTAAATTCCTTCTTATAAAAATCCTAGACTTTTTATGAAACAATTTAAAAAAAAATTAATCTAAAAAAATTTTAAGTCGTTTTATAAAAAATCTGACTCTATAAAAAGTCCGTAATATATAGATATAATTTACAAAGTCTTCATAATTAAAGAAAATTATAACGCAATAGCCAATGTAAGCATTTATAATTCATAATTCGCAAAATTGAACTGATTAAATTATTATAGCTTCAATCGATAACTTCTAACATCGTTATTAAGAGCTTTATTGCTTTTATATGTTATTTATTCAACTTCATCATTAATTCTTAAACCGTAGGGTTATCTCGTTAAAAGGAGAAAATGACGTATGGAAGAAAACCAACACTCTATATTATTACATCGTAAATTTATCGAACTAAAAAAAGATACTGATAATGCCAATAAATGACATTATATAACCTTTAATGTCTATAATAATCTTGATTAGATGTTTTATGTGTCCAGTTACATTTTATTTACGTCGAAAATACATAGTTATTTTCTAATATCATTTTCATATTAAATAGATTGAAATGCTACATCTGTCATGCATATACAAAAAATAGAGAACAAAGTATAATCAAAATATATAAATATAATATACATTTCTGTCGAATGTATTTTACTTTAATCATTATCAAAAAAATTGGACAAAATATAATTAATATTATAAATCATGAAGAAAATCTGATAACTTTTTATAGAGTCAGAGTTCTTTGAAAGGGCATTCTAACGAGAAGAAGTAATTGATAAAATTTATATCATCCTGCCGCTCATTATCACACTTACCGGAAACTTGCTACTGTGAGTCTGCAAACTGGCCGCCTGTTGAGTCTGACCCGAACTCTGCTCCTCCCCGTACAAAGGTGGCATTCTGTATTCCGGCGCGAAGGGCTGCCCGGCCGCGCTTCGAACCTGCCCGTTCTCCACGACGCTGGTCCTTTCCGGACCGGAAGTCGTTCGCAACGACGAACGCTCGACTACCGTCTGTTCCCGTTGTTCGTCCTGCTGACCGTCCTGATTGTTCTTCTGATTGTTCGACACCGGCTTCGGCGGTGGCACTGGCTTGTAAGGTCCCTCTTCATCTGTAACAAAAAAAATGCACGATTTAAGAATATCTATTAATTTATTACAAAATTTTATATTTAACTCTTTAATAAAATAAAAAGGTAAAAAAAGACATAGAGAACTAAAGGGAAATGTCAAGGAATAAAAAGTTATCGAGCATCAATATATATTCATATCGCAAATACTATATAATATAAAAAGGAATCAGAAAAGAAATATGAAATAAGATGTGATACATATAATTGTTTATAACGTTATAAACAATTATATGTATATCACATCTTATTTCATATTTTTTTTCTCATTCCTTTTTGTATTATATAGTATTTGCGATATGAATATATATTGATGCTCGATAAATTTTTATTTCTTGACATTTCACTTTAGTTCTCTATGTCTTTTTTTACCTTTTAATTTATATTTTATATATACAGAGGACTTAATTATTAATTGTTCTTTAATAAAATTTTTTTATAGAGTAATAATTATAGTTTATTCTTTTTAAATGTTTTTTACATTATTTTCGTTACATCATTTTTGAATACGAAATGAAATCGGCAAACTGGTGAAATAAATTTTCATATATTCAACACCTTAACTTGACATGAATGTATTAAACAATTTATTCAAAGGAAATACTTAGGAAATTGCTATGTATTATACATGGGTGCACTGAAAACTACGTCAAGAATATTTTATATCCTTAGAGAGGAAATACACAAGTAACATTCTTCTTTAAGAACGATGAAAATTCTACGCAATAATATTTACGCAAGCTAGCCATTTAGATGATAAATTATTAATTTGCCTAAAATGTTTAAATAATAAACTTCGCTACACAGCGTACAATTATTGCGCGTTAATTAAGATCTTTGCTTATAAAGATGCTGCTCGCTTTTTCCCTTTAATTTACGTATTAAAGATATACATTACGTATCAAAGAGAATATTATAATATTTTCGATGCAATTAGAGAGTAAGCTCATAATATAGTTATTTACATACGTATATATTTACATTACGTTACATTAACGGCATATTATATTCTTACAACATTCTAATTATGTTAATTGCAGAAGATGCAAGCATACGCGTTTCTACATAACTAGATCATGATGAAGGCTTTCTATCGTCGAGGCAAGAAGATCTAAAAAACAAAAGTTGACAAAATAATATTTAAAATAGAAAATGAAAATATTTACGCGAGTTATTTTTTTATACTGGAGTATAAATGATTATATTTAATAAAATAATCATTTATATGTATATTTATATATATGTTAATTAAAATTTTATTTTGAGATTTATTTTATGAATCAGAAATAAATGTTTCAAATTTGTTTTTTTTATTAGAGATTTCAATAATCAATTAAAATAATATTTTATCACATTATATAAGCAGTACAATTTTTGAAGAAATATTTTTTTCTAAATTCGTATTTATTTTATTTCCTTTCTTTTCTTACAGTTTATGTCCATTAAATCGGCTTTTACATATTTTATTAAATTATATTAATTGATTTTTATTTAATTTTATGTAATTTTTAATGTAAATTGGAATTAAATAAGTGCCGAGAAAACGCATTTTTATTTTCCAATTATTTTTTAATTATTAATTATTATTTTCTAAATATTTTTATTATATGTAACATTTTAAATAAAATTTTAAATAAAAGAAGAGAAATAATAATTAATACACACAAGTTTCACCTTAAGATATTTTAATATAAATTCTATATGTATAAATTTTTATATGTAGAGAAATTTTTATATATAATTTATATATATAAATATTTAATATTTATATATAAATTTCCCTCTCTTTCTATCTGTCTTTATTTTTAAAAAAATCTATTATTTTAATAAATAATTTTAATTATTGCATTTTTAATATTTCTTATATAATATTTGTATTTTCCTATCACATTCTTACGAAAAATATAATTATTTCAATATTTTATTTAAATAAATCTATTATTTTTTCACTCAAATAATTATTTAAATACTCTGCATTTTAAATATGTTTTTTTTATTGAGCGTAAATTATATTATGCATAGATATGTCTCACGAATGTCTGTTGTTCATTAACCACCGCTTATGCATTTATGTACCTTGACTCTGATTCTGCCGCCTAAGACGATTCTCCTGCTTAACTTTGCGGACGGTGGTGGCCATCGCGTGTTGGCTGACCATCTCTGACGAATACTTTCACGAATGCACTTCGAGTCCCTTGTTTTCACCCTCGAACGAAGCTAACGACAAGCGCGGAGTTCTTTCAATTCGTGTTTCTTCGAATAATACTTTTTTATGAGTTTCTCGCGCCCATTGATTACTATAATCACCCGTCTACGATCTAAAGTCTCGAATCGTCGGGAAATATAATATATCGATCACGAAAAAGATGTACAGATGATGACAGAAGCTTGATTGAGGACCACCCAAGATGTGATTCGAATGAAGTGTCCTTTGCCGCTCGTCAGCAAATTTCTCATTTTACACGAGGAAGAGGTCGATAATGACAGACTGCAACTGCTGCGTTAGACACGACGAGCACTTTGTAAAATTACAAAGCTCATTAATTTGCACGGTACATTTCACAATAGTTTCGTCAATTTCTTGCATGGGAAAAGTCTCTTTTTTCTCATTAAAGTATGCAATTAATTTAAGTTTTCGATTTCACTCATCTCTTTCATGATTGATGCATAAAACAATATAACACTTTAATTAAGGAAACACAGACCGATAATACAATGAATTAAAATGTATGCGGTTTTGTAACGCAAGTCCTCCAAGAGAGGAATTGGGTTAATTAGCATTCTTTGCGATGGACTTCCGTTTCACAGACAAACCCTTTGTCTCACCCACGAAAATCACACAGATCTTTTTTTCTCAAAGACTGTCATCATCTTGTCACTTTCACGCGAAAATACTTATTGTTTGCAACGGCGAAAACTCGCTTATTTTTCGTGCAGTTGCACACGAAAAGAAAACGCATTTCAAGTCGACTGTGCGAAATAACTTTCCTCGGGTTTCATTTCGCGGGGAAGGTCGCGCGCACGAACCTAAAAATTTTCAATGCATTTATTTTGGCGGGAACAATTTCCGCGCCGATCATTTTCCTCGATTTTCCAGATGGAATTCCAAATAATTCATCACAAATGCGTTGGCGTTTTTTAAATTTCCACGCACTGTTTCTGAAATGGAAGTTAATGTACAATGTCTCTTGCAAATTTATCGTCCCCTTTCTTCTTCGCGGGTAGAAAACTTTTTCTTTGTCATAGTTTAATGGCAAGCTTCCTCGAGCATTCTTTTTCCTTCTCTTTCTCTTTCTCTCTCGTCGGTTCTTGTAATATCCAGTATGATCCAATTTATTCAACCGCTGCCTTGATTACTCGACGATGTTATTTGCTGCTCCGCGAGACTTCCGGTGCTTCACAATAAAACGTACTTTATTTGTGACGTTAATGCAACTCCGAATAAATGTTTCTCGTGCTTTTTTTTTTGTTATTCATTAACTCGCCTGCGTGTGTTCCTCCTTTTTACTTTCGGATTAATCTATCATCCATCTCGAGTCTATCGTTTGATTAAATCTGCTTGAATTTCATTCAAAATTTCCGATTAACGTTCACTTATTCTATCTTCGAGTCAAATCCGCGAGCGTTTAATCTCTTAGATTCCTATTCATCAATCTTGATAAAAGCTTATCAGTCCATGCAACACAAAATTAAATCAGAGTCCATATCTATCTCCTCTAGTTCAATCTTTAATCAGTTCACGTTATTGCTCCTGAAAACCTCGGATTACTTTTCTCCTTCTGTTCCTCCTTTCGCGCACTGGATATCCGACCGAATATTAACACCTAGAGCTTTTATCGGGTACTCAATCAATCTTTCTCGAAACGTTCACACTTTCAATCATCTCGGTTCCTTCAAGGATCGCGCTATCGACGTGCACAGATTTTTCCCCGCTGTTCCAAGCTGTTCGCGCGTGACTCGCGTTCACGCGAATGTCGAAGGAAGCGGATTTTCCTTCCTTCGTGCTGGAACGAGCGACGCGTGCGAGCGTGTATGGCCACCTCTTTTAGAGAGCTGCCACGCTTGCCGGTGGAGCTCAAACTTTCCATTGAGTGAACGTCTGGTTCCGCCGTTCTGACTTCACTTCCGGTATCGTCCCACCACGAGGAGTCATTATAGACGCCTTGACGGGGGGGGGGGAGGGCAAGACGACGAGCGGAGAGGGATGAACAAACGGCCACGAAGAGCAATAGCCAGGGCAATCGAGTGAGAGAGTTGAATCGCGAGAGGGAGAGGGCGAGCGACGTCAAGGGGAAAGAGAGAGAGAGAGAGAGAGAGAGAGAGAGAGAGAGAGAAAGATGCAGAAGAAACAGACCTCACGGGGATAATTTATTCCGCGCTCATACGCGGCCGGGCTCGGCGACGCGCATCCGACGAATATCAAGCTGCTCGTCGTCGGATCTCTCTCGATCACCGATCGTTAGATCCGGAGAGGACGCATGAACTCACGTCCACGACGAATTTTCGTATTTATCGTTCCTGTCTTCGAATCTTCGTCTCGCAGAGAAATCGTATCTTTCGAATAAATAAATAATCCTTTTTAAACAAGTGAATGAATAAAGAAAAAAATATAAACAGGTGTAAAATAATATTTTTTTTTTTAGAATTATCCATGCACATAATTTTGATATAATTAGTGTCTTAATGCGAAATGGATGACACGTTACTGAGCCTTTTACAACTATAGTTACGTTAAATAGGATTTAAAGTTTCTTAATCGAATGTGTGCCTCGCTATGGTTTAGGGATTAATAAGACTTTGTGAGACATTCTCTTATATAATCTCTTTTGTGAACTTAAGGACTTGACAAAGTCATAAAGCGTAAAACAAGAAGTTGATAATGTATAATCATTCTTCGATTTAGTTCAATATTCGATTTAGCTCATCTTATTTCTAAAATAAAACACAATTGTCAGTTCATCTTTTGATAAAAATTAGTCGCCCAATTTGTCAATAAATTAATTTTCAAGAATCGAAATAGCTGAGTAATTTTAATGCAAATATTTTAATTATATATTGATTCCAACATACATTCTTAATTATACATTGAATTTTCGTGCAATATGTTAAAATTGAAATTTGCATTTTTTAATTTTTTATTATTAGAGAATTATTTATAAATAAGTAATTATTTATAAGCAAATAGAATAATTTATTTCGATCTAATTATTTTCACATCCCGCGCATGTATAAATTATTTAAATTATTTAAAATGTTTAAAGATTAAATTAACCATTCGGAAATTTTTAAAAAAATTTATTAAATGACTAAAATTATTCAAGATAAATTTTATCATGATCAATTTTGCACGTCACAGAATTAAAATCATCGTTCGCTTGATCAATATTCTGTTTTCACGACTCTGATTCGACGAAACTCGCGGCGCAATCACAGGCCACAATTTGGCCGACGAGAAATTTTGTATCCAACATTACGGGATAAATTATGGTTCGTAATTCGATGAGAGAAAAGGAAGAAAAATCCACGTATGTGCGCCAACAACTTCATGGTTCGACGAGATTTTCACGTTGGTAATAACACGCTTGCGGCGCGTATTGGGAGGCAAAGAAAAAGACGCGATCGAAACGCAGATTAGTGGCTGTCGATTGCGTGGAATCATTATCGGGGGATGTAGGGCACGGCAAAGATAAGAGAAAATCGAGCGGCTTTTCACGATTGACCGGGGGAAAGCTGATTCGAGCGAAGATGAAGAGACGCAGGAAGAGCTTGATCTACTCGCTTTTAATTTCTGTCTCGATCTCGGCTCTTGAACATCCGAGTGTGTTGATCGTCGTTTTTGCCGTGTGAGACAGCCCAGAATAAATTCCCATCGCACGCTTGATACATTTCTAATACAGAATACAGATCGAGATTGAATAGATCTCACGATTAGGAGTCATGCATTTCAATTAGAATAGCAAATTTTAATTAGTAGCCAACGCTAGCTGTTTATTCGTATAAATAAGCGCTATCCATCAATCATTATTCGTGAAAAATATGCTTGTGAGATTGATTGAGACTGTCCAGTTTTGCGCTTGATTATCAGCTGATGTGTTAATACGCAAGATGTATAGGAATTGGGACAATTTAACTTCTTCTAATTTAATTTAGGAAAATGTAAATTGTTAATTAAACATATTAATTGGAATTTTTAAGAAAGTATAAGTTAAGAAAGTATAGTTATGTCTTTCAATTTCTCGCAGAATGAAAGTTGTTGCAGCTATAAAATCTCGGCGCGGATTCTCTCACTCGCTAATCTATCCGTCACTTTTAACCATCCACATTGTGATGGATCATCGCCTCAACCGAGATCACTATCTTCTCTCTTAGTGCTCCCGAGATCAATCAATGGATAAGAATTCGCGGCTGTTATTGACAGAACGCGGATTTTACATCCATCTGTCAACTGCGCCCAACATTTGACATTTTAAGGTAAAAATTTTTCTATAAATTCCATTGATATAAATTTTTCCCAATGTTTGCCGCATCAGAAGCTATAATTAGGTTGATTTTCTCAACCAGCCAATCTACCAACGGCAAGTATTTCCAAATACGGGACACGTATGGCATAGAACCGTAAAATCGATGACAAAACGCATTGCAGTGTGGGATTCGATTAACGATTCGCGCGTAGAATCTTGTCGATTGTATCAGAGAGAGAGAGAGAGTTGATATCGCGGGTACGCACGTTTCAGTCGTTTCCTATTTTCTCATTTCCTTCCTTTTTCCTCCGGCGAACCCGTTTCTCGACGAACGCAATTCAGCGCGGCCGAGTCGATATCCACATCCGTGCTTGTCGATCCAGGATTTTTAATGAACCGCATATACCTGCTGCACTTACCCCTTTCGCGGCCGGCTTGATGACCGGCTCGCATCCACTATCGATTTCTGCTATCAAGCCCGATTATATTCGCGCCAAGGCGCGTGAGAAACGCTCTTGGAAATTATACATGCTGCTAAGAAATGTTATTCTTAAAGAGAGTCCAGTAGTGTAGAATAACTCTGATAGTAGTTACGATATAATATAATACAATGTAACGTTTATACATATACGGTCTCTCACTGTAGGTAATGGTCTCCGCACAATTTGAGTCACTTCTAATATAGTTTGTGAAAAAGAAAATGATAATTTTAAAAATAGTTCTTTTTTTAATAAAGAACAAATTTTGATAATAAAAATTTAAAGAGCGTTAGTTTTGTGATAAGACTTAAAATTGCCTTTATCTTTTTAAATGGGAATATATGATTTTATTTCTTAATAATATAGAAGAGCTTAAAAATCGATTCAAAATTCATTATATATAATTATTTGTTTTGACAACATTATTAAAAAATTATTCTTTTTATTTAAAAAATAAAATCAATTGTTTAATAGTTTAAAATGCGCATATTTTATTGTGCTTCAAATTATAAAATTTATTTGTTAAAAGTCATTAATTTCTTGTCTACAATAACGATATTAAGTGAAAGAGAAGGAAAGAGAGAGATATTAATCGTATTCGTATTTATAAATTGTTTAATAAGTTCGAAGTTAATTTTCTCTAGCAATTTAATTTTTATAATTACCATTGCTAACATATTTGCAATTAGAACTTTCGAATAAATATATTTATCTTGCTTATGCGAGATTGTACACGATGCATCACTTCTTGAAATGTAAATAATGAAAATAATGAAATGTATGTAAATAATGAAAACTATATCGTTATAAGACAAGAATGTTCAATTTCCCATGAAAAATAACATTGTATTATTATGCATTCCTTATATAGCCTGTATTGTTATTTCTCCATTTTGCCCACAAGTTTCATTGTTTGTACTTCATTATGGAAGAAGTTATCGCTAATAGTTACCGTATTTCTAACGTAATTTTCCTTGAAATGCAAAGAGTGCCATGAGATTGTTAATCAGAATATCTATGGTTTATAAATTCTCCAATCTATTTGAGATCCACATTTTCCATTAACAAGAATATTTAAACAATCAACCGATTTATAAGCAATTAAAAATACAGATATTCAGATAAAGAAAATTTACAAAAAGAAAGAGGAAGAGATAATTCAAGATTGATTATAGAAGCCACAAATAAAAGATGCATCGATACATATGAGAATACGCTCTCGGATGCAATGCATCGTCTAAAACAATAAATTTCGCATTTCTCACGATTCTCGATTTGCTAACACATGATTAAAGATGCGATTAATGGTATCTAGATCTCACCTTGATTTTATAAGCGTCTCTTCCGTCGATATTGCCGTTAGTTTCATATCGTATCTCGTTTCTCATCGAGATATCGCTAGAATAAATCTCGCGCGTTTTATGTAAAAAGCAATATCTCCCTTTTTATTGAAATTCAAAGCGCATGTTGTCGCGCTGATCATTTAATCGATATAATTCGATACCCCCCATTAAAATTCTAGGCTAAATATGATAGCAGCAATTTATTTAGCAAAATGTTACAGAGATTATCTAGTCACAAAATAATTATATATAAATATATCTGATATTATAATTATTAATTCCATCATCTACTTGTCTGATCGATCGATAAAACGTGTTGATGCGCAGAACCTTATACAAGGCTCTCTAATCCGTGACAACGTTCGATGACCACCATTCGTTCGCCTCTTCTCATCGTCTTTTTGGACTTTGGTCTTTATGCAGTCTCTTAACCCTTTATCACTCGCTCGTTATCGCGAGACGTGGCAAGTTGGATCCACGCTCTCTCTCTTAGGTCGACGCAGTCGCATTCGATGTCGCGTTTCAAGTATCTCGTCATCGTCGCGTTGCAAAATCGATAAAGATTCCTTCACCGCCGTTGGACTCTTACTCTCGGCGTTATTATCGCGTGGGCGTCTGCAACGCCCGGCGAATTTCGCGTAGGCGGCAGAATTGTCTCCCGCTGTGATGCTTTCATCCTGTTCGCGGCGTACAAGCATAACGCGAAAATTGTAATTGTTTCTTGTCTTCGGAAGAGACGTATATAAATCGTCGAAAAATGTTTACAGAGAA